TGTGGTATATTTATTCCCATATCTTTTGTACTATAGTCACCACTCTTCCCTCTGATAACTGTAAGTTTCAACGGTCAGAATTTAACAGAATTAAAGACTGCATAGTAATTAAACAATGTTAGGGAGAAAAAAAAAAGAAAAAAAAAGAAGTGTCAATATCTGAATTGACTTTTCCTTCATTTTTCAGATCATTTATTTATGGTGAAGATGTTTCATGCACAGATTTCCTCTTTGCTGTTTAAAAAAATCATAAAATGCTCTATCTTCCCTTGGACCTATGTAAGGCTTGAAGGAAGACAAGACAGAACTGGAGGTAGGATGGAGAATTATTATCTTTCTTCTGCTTTCAGAGCTTAAGAGAGACAGCTAAATCAACAGAAGGCTCTTTATTTCTCTTTTTAAAATTATGGCAGAGGTACAACATAAGCAGGCCTAGCATCTCAGGCTAGCATGTGACAATAGGGATGCCTGTCCTTCTGCACTGCAGTAACTCTGTGTGGGAACCATTCAACGTCCCTCAGTGCAGGAGGAGGTGGTCTGAGCCATAGCTACAGCACTGAAACCTTTGGAGCATGTTGAGATAACACGTAACAATTTCAATACATTACAGTCCTTAGGGGTATATAAAACAATGTGAAAATTGACAATACAAAAGTAAAGATTACTGGAATGCTCCCCACCTTTGACTTCTTTGAAGGAATAGGTGTGGGGGGACCCCTAAACTGGACTGTGGCTGGTAATCAGCAGAGTGGTGGCTGTGAAAAGTTTCAGAGGTTTAAAATCTAGTACCAACCAGACCAAAGGATACACTTGAAACTACGATAGAGAAGGGAAAAGGTAAAATCTGGATGAAATACAGGCAAATTTTAAAATCTTATCTGAGCTGCAGTTCTTAGAAAGCTAATTTTTTAAGGCAATTGCAGTTGAAAGTTTTTATTTGGTCAATTCTTTTAATCTTGGTATACTGCTGTGATGAATACTGATTTAGTCTGCAACAAGAACGTTTGTTTTTTTTTTTTTTTGGAGTGAAGTTCAAGAGGAAATAATCTGAACTGATTGTATTTAACAACTTCCTAAAAAAAGAAAAACTTTTACTGTACTATAAAAAGACTATAAGCAGCATGTCTATCCGTCCTTATAACTGTTCTGTTGTATACATAGCAGGAAAGCTTGGCTGTCATTGTTGCAGACTGGTAGTATTCTAGCCTAGTAAAAATAACAAATTCTTATGAAAAGGGGACTCAGCACACAGAGCAGTCACATTTTAAATCTCAGTATTTTGGCCACTTTTAATTAAAAAAAAAAGAAAAAAACGTCCAAGTTCACTGAAAGGACCAAAGGACTACATAGAAAATATCTTTGAGAAGCACCATGGGTCTGAAAATAAATCAAAGCCTCTCTTCTATCACTTTTACATAGTACCCCCAGGACTTCAAAACCTATTTTATTTTAAAGCTTGTAAAAGAAAAAGAAAAAAAAAATGTTGTTGGACTAAAACCTCACTTTTCAATTTCATCCTGGAGGGAATTTTTATAGCTGAGTTATAAACCCTCCACACTAGAGTGTTTATAATGGAAACACTGACAAATGTGATAATAAACACCAATCATGGGGCCATAGTAGCTGGTCAGAATGTGGATGCAGGGGTTTTCAGTGCTATCATAATATTTAGTTCTGTTTCCAGCACTAATTTGCTTAAACTTGCTTTCAGGTTGAGCAGCTGTAAAACAAGATCAGCCTGACTATAGATTGCAAAATCATTTGATTATTTATACTTCTCTTAGAAAGCTTGGAAATGTCTCTCAAATATGATTTCATTTACAGTTATTTTTTGGTTTATATGTCTGAATACTAATCGTAACACGATAGCTTCAAGGGAACTCAACTTCTACCAAAAGACAGCCTTCAGTGGGCAAAGAGAATATAAACAAACCCTCCTCAGACCAGGATCTAAAAATGGGCTATGATCAACCGGCTCTAATGCTTTAAAAAAAAACCTTATTATCTTTTCCCAGAAGTAATTGACACTGTCAGTTTTTGTTGTTAGTGCAGTGATAATGGTATGGTGCTTTGGGGAGACCAAGGACCTTGGTGGCAGCAGGGTTTCTAAGCAAGGGAAAGGTCTTTTGTTACAGGGGGTGGAATCCTGGCCTTACTGAAGTTAGCAGCACTTCGATACTCACCCTTCATTATGGCCAGGGTTTCACTGACTTACCCAGCCTGACACTCTTACTGTGTTGTGACTCCACTGAGTAGGATGCAGCTACCTTGGGTTGAGAGGAGGGTGAGGGAAGAAGGAACTCTACAGTGTTGTAATGTCAGGGAGATGGGATCGCTCTCCAGAAAGAAGCTTGTCTGAAGTGTTTCACAATATCATTGTATTCTTAGCAGACTGAGCTTCCAGGACTTTAACATGGACACATGGGCCAAGTGCTGGATCAGTATGGTACTGTTTCTCTGTATTTCACTGTTTCACTGAGCTCTTCAAGTGCATAATGGCATGCTTTGGTTTTAACACAGGTGTTTAAGAAAAAAATGCATCTGGACTACTGTTCTGGTAAATCTTTGCATGACCCAGGAAAAGCATGAAACATAAAAAATTAAAACCCCCTTCATCAGGTTCTCAGTTCCTATAAATCAATGTGTGGCCAAGAGGCTCTCTCAAAGTCTTTGGCATTATACAAAATGTATCTTAGTACTTCATCTGTTCTGTTTGCATATTGTGTTCATCAGCTTATACCACAATGGCATTTTTAATTTCTAATGTTATTTCTAGAACCAGTGGCTCATATAAGAATGTTACTACTGTTCTGTATTGCTGCTGAAAATTTCCAGTGATCGATTAAAAATCAGGATTCATTATTCAGGATCCAGATTTTTATTAGTATTTAAAGATAAAATGTAGTATTTTCTTTCTGCTTTTCTCTAGTCTTTAACACAAGTATGGAAAAACCTTGGATCTAGAACAAATTCCAATGTTTTTTATTAAACTGAGAAGAGAAAGCCAATAATTTTTGAATTAACTGTAACAGACATGTTTACATTATGAATCTCTTAAGAGTCTGTTCTATATAGCTGTAATTTTCCAGTCACATGAGTAAGAAAAAATATGAAAAGATACATAATCATGCTGTGGAAAGCACAGTTGTAGAGAGATCATGGAGAAATAGTGCTAAGAAGTGAATATTGAATTGCATATTTCATTTTCTTTAAAGAATGTACCTTCATCATTTTGCTTGAGACAATGGTAACAGTAAAATGCATCTGGGTCATGTGAACAGTCGATTTTAGAACATTGTTCACTCATAGTTCCTTTTCTCATTTTAATTTTAGAAACAACAACAAAAAACCCAAACAAAAAACCCCAACAAAACCCAACACAAAACCATCTGATGAGGTGAAACACCCCAGTTTCTAGAGAGGATCCAGCTGTGTTAACTGTCCAACTGCCCCTTGGAAAAAAAGCTTTCTGACAACTGTAAAGCAGATGCAGTGTGTGTAGTCAGGAAGGTAAACAAAAACAAATGGAAAAAGAAACCAAGAAACAAGTGAAAAGAGAAAGAATATTAGAGTATTAATACAGGATATTAGATCACGCATGATAATATCAAAGTGCATGGAATGAGAAAAAGAAGAGTCACCGCAGAAGCTGACAAAATATAAGAGAAGAAATCAAAGGGGTATTAGAATGGGATTTAGATCTTTGCCATTCCAGCCTGAATCCAGGTAAATCTTGATATTCACTAATATACAACAATTTTACATCGTGGAGACAAAAGCTGTCCTGTAAAGTCACCCAGAGCGACTGCCTTGGATGGGACATTTCTCCTAAGTGTAACGCAGGAGTTAAACTGGATTGGGCCCTGAACAGGCTGATTGCTGCGAAAACGGGGAGGAATCCCGCTCCCTCCTGGGCAGCTGCAGGGGAAGTTCCAGAGGCAGGGAGAGACGGGGGATGGAGCAGCAGGGCAGGCACACAGCAGAAAGAGCCGCAGAGGCTTCTAGAGGAGACCCCGGGATCCCTACCCCTTTCCCAGGCGGCGTGGGGGCACGGCCACCCCTCCGCTGCAGCTCTCCCTGGCTCTCATCCCTGCCAAAGGCGGCTGCGGGACATTAGTAGACCGTGTCTCTTCCCCAGGGCCGGGCTCTCCCCTTCCCTTCCGCTCCGGCTTTTCAGGATGTATGTATTTATTTTCTCTCGTGCAGCAATGAAACATGGGTATGAAGGGTGGTCCAGTGAGAGAGAAGGGGTCTCCGCTTGACCTCCGCAAAATCAAAGCCCACAAGTTTTATCTCTGAGGAGCGAGTAGACGGTTTCCCAGGCTAGCCGGGCCGGTGCCGGGGAGGCTGCGGTGCCGCCCCGAGAGCCGCCACCCCTTGCCCTCTTCGGGACGCCTCGCAGCCTCCCCGGCTCCTGCTCGGTGCTAGCGACGGCCCTGGAAGCCCACACGAGAGGACGGAGCTGGTCCCGGGAAGGAAATCGTGACAGCAAACGGTTGTGCCCAGATGTTCCGCTTTACTGGCCCTGTGACACGGCGGCATGGACTTGGCAGGAGGGATTTGAAAGAAAAGGGAGATGCTGTTTATTTTCCGAAGAAGCAGAAAGCCCTAGGTTAAAATGCAGAAGCTGAGGTTTTCCTAGTCCTGCCAGGCAACTGGGCAGGCAACTGAATCCGCTGAGAACCCATTCCTCAAACTGGCACCACCCTGCTGCCCTGCAAAGCCTTTCTCGAAAGCAGCGGATTGCAAAAGTTTTAAAACAGGCGACATAACACAGACCAAAAGGCCTCAGGTATTCATTTCCCCCCATTACTTTTACAAATATTATATATATATTAGCAAATCTACACACACTGAATCTTTTCCCCCTCCACCCCAAGGCACTCTTCCCCCAGGCTCTCCTCATTGTTCATCCCGCACCAGCATGGTCCTGCCTGCAGTGTGAGGAGCCCGGGCAGAGCCGGGCTCTGAGCCCCAGGGAGAGAGGTGCCCGGCCCCGGCGCTCCCTAGCTCGCCTACTGACTGCTGCAGCCGTCTAGGAGCTCAGTCATGAACGAGATGTACACTATGGCCAAGCGCAGTGTCTCTATCCGGGAGAGCCTCTTCTCGTAGGCGAAGGTGGGCACTTTCTTCCTCAGCTGATCAAAAGCCTCGTTGAGGTTGAACATCCTCTTCCTCTCTCGTATGTTGGCCGCTTGGCGCTGGGCGTAGGTGATAACTCGCTTTCTCCTGGGTCTGTCTAGGAGGGAAGTGCTGTGCATCCTCTCCTCTTCCTCCTCCTCTTCTTCGTCTTCGGGATTTCCATCTCCGAAGGCAACCAGCGGCAGCCCCCGGGCCATCTCCCCACGGAGCGACCGGGCTCTGTCGCAGAAGGGAGGCCCAGAGGTGACCTCGCAGAGCCTCAGTCCCGGCCCAGCCCGGGAGGGAGCCTGGGGAGGCCCCAGGGAGAGGTCAGCCACGAAGTCCACCACGGATGTGCCCAGCAGCCCCTCCGGGCAGGGCACTTGCGGGGCTCTGCCGTGCAGCTCATCCAGCAGCCCCGGGAGCTGGTGGGCTGGGAAGAAGCTGGCTGACATCTTACTTCAGAGAAGGCTTAATCTGGTCCCCCATCCTCAGCCCCAATAGCGCTAATATTTATAACACCTTGGGTAACAGGATTAGCGGGACTACAAAGAGCGGCTGTAAAATTTCTCGCAGTGATGCTGATGAGAGGAGACAGGCAGCCCCCTCGGGGACGCGTGTATGCTCCCGACAGAGGAGTCCCCAGCGAGTCAATCCTGTCACAGCGATCAAGGACAGCTCCTGCTTGGCAAAACCCTCCGCTCTTACCTGCTGAGCACTTTTATCTCTTCTTACACACTCGCAAACAACAGATTTTCAGCCTCTTTAAAGCCCGCAGCCACAGATCCAGGTCTCCACTGGGCTTGTTTTCCTGCTTTTTGTCGGGATCTCTGAACCCCGAGAGCCAGGCTGACAATTGATGTCAGGCAAGTGCATGTACGCTTTTAATGATGTCCTGAAGAGGAGACCTGCACGCAGAGGGTCACTGGGGAATGTTTACCCTGTATCCCGGCGCAATGGGAACTGAATGACAGGACCTCCATTAGCCTAAGTAAGCATTGTAGGGGACCCGATATTGCATTCCCAGTAGTAACTGTTGGAGTCGTCTCTCCATTCCCCCTAAATCCCCTTCAACTAGAGTTCAAACATCTTTCCAGTCTAAGGCTGCTTCTTAAAGCTCATTTTGGCTTAGGCACCAGGCAATTTCAAAGCACTTGCTTTGAAACTCTTTCCTCCTGCCCGTGAGACGAGGATAAGCTGGTACTATTCAGGTCAGCGGTTGCTCTTATACTTTTGGCAGAGGTGTCCCGGTCACAGGCGTTGTACAGGGGAATCAACCTGGCGTGCAGCACTGGCAGCGCTGGATACACAGCACAAAATACCGTGAAACGCGTATAAACACACCCGTACACCCGACACCGCCGAATACCTTCCTTTGATCAAGGTTTCCTAGGGGACGGACGCTGGGGATCGTTTTGCTTTTGTCCTGGGAGGGCTGTGTCTTCACCCTCCCACACCCCGGACTGTCCCTAAATGTACAACCTGCCCCTGGCCATCCCCGGCAGGGTAAGACACACCCGGGCTGGATAGGATCAATTTTCTCCGGCACCGGTTTGTGTGCGCAGGTCGTTTAGGAGCTCTGGCCGTTGCTCTTGCGCTGCGCCCCTAAAGCCGTACCTTCGCCTTTGTCATGCGTTGTTGTTACTCTCGCTTTGCAGCTAATTAGTATCTAATTTATAAGGAGATTTCAAAGCCCATCAGATCAAAGGAGGCGGGTGGGGGCGGCCGAAGAATCCCGCTCCCCGAAAATCCTTCTTGTTTGTCTACACAGGACCGCAAACATTTCCCACCGCAGACCGGGATCTGCCGTCCTGCGCAACACTGTGAGCGAGCCGCGCATCCCCTTTTCCTGGGAAAGACACTTCCAGCCCCAGCCCCACCTCTTGCCGCCGTTCCGCCGGCTGCCAGGAGCGGACAGGGCACTGGCTGCGCTGCGCGGCGAGGAAGATGAACGAGAGCGGAGCTACACTGGAGAGCTCCGGGGCGGTAAGCAGCCGGTCCTGCGGCCCCGGGACACCCCCCATTCCCCTGCCTTACTCCGGGTCGAGAGCCAGCCTCTCCACCCTCTCCACGTCCTGCCGCACCACCACCAGCGCACCGCCTAAGCGGAGGACCCGTATCTGCTTTAATGATTTAATGGCCAGCCTAAGGCTTAATACAGAGCAAATAGCAGTGAGGCTGCTTTTATCCTTGCCAGAACTAAGAGTTTCTTTAGCGATCAGGGAGTCACTTATCTGGGGCAAATATTGTTCATTAAAACACCTGGTCAATGAACTAGTAACAGAGAGGTGCTGTAAATCATCTGTTAGAGAAGCGTTGACTGTTAAGAGAAGTGTTGAGACCATCACAAAATCACAATGAGTTGAAGAGCTCTGAATGTTAAATGTTATATAGAAGCTTGGTGAAGAAAAGGTCAGAGAAATATTTATGATCGATCCGCAAAGGAATGTGACTTATTTGATGTTTCTTTTAGGTGAGGTGGCAAGTATTTCGTTTAAAGACATGGAATTATGAATTAGAGGACAAATATCAGCAAAGATGTGTTACCACAGAGGGCAAAATTATCGGGGAATTACAAATACTTTAGATAATGAGAGAAATTAATGCAGAAATAGGGATTCATCAGCTCTGTGTCAATCTTCACACGGTGTGGGAAATCGGCGTTTTAAAGAGGATAGACCAGTCCTTCACCACAGCCTCTTCTGGAAGAAACTCGTGCTCACATCTCTAGTTTCAGACTTTTGCAGAACACAAACTACAAAGACAACCGGAACCAGAAACGTTTTATGTCACAGGAACGTAAAGGGAGAAGGTTACTGAGTTAGTATTGCATCACAAAAGTGATATAACATCAAAGATTAATGCAGGCTGCGCCTGTCACTGAACTCTCAAAAGAAGCACTAAAGTCAGGACCAAGCCAGGACTGGGAGGTCCTAGTAGAAAATAAAGACTTGTAGCCAAGGTGAATCCTCCTGTCAAACTTGATTGTTTTTTAATTGCTGCTTTGTTTCCCTATTTTATTTTTTCCTTTATTTTTGGTAAAATATTTATTTTTCTCTTATATTAACTATTTTATGTTAGGTATAATAAGCTTAAATGAACTGTGATTTGAGGTATGATTTTGAACATTTTTTTGTATTTGGTGATTTTTGTCAGTGGAGAAAGCATGGAGCAGAGAAAGTGTGTAATGAATATCCAGGGCTGCAGGGGACAGGTTTTCAGGGCATAAATGCAACGATGTAGAGGAAGCAGGACAAACTCTTATGAGAGGCTGCTCTATACTCCGAAATCTTCTTAGACCAGTTTAGGTGCTCAAACGTGTGTTCTAGATTTGTTTTAATGAAGAATACAGTTTGCTGTATGATTGTGCATCTTTCTTTACCCACCTCTTATTCTACCATTTCATTTAACTTATTTCTCATAAAAAAAAATTTGCTCACAAGCTACTTACAGATGCTGGGCACTGATGGCTGCATCTTCAAGCCACTCTACATCCTTTTCCATATTTTTTTTTTTCTGCAGAAATATCTATGATATGATTCCCGATGCCCATGTAATATTTGGGTTTAAACCCCAAACAACAGCATCTTTTCTGATCTTTTATCACTATCAGAAAAGCATACCCACCGCTGATTATGTTCCAGTTGTTAACAATTTTGTCTAATGACATCTCCCTATAGAACAAATCCATTATCCTTAGTACTAGCACGAATGAGGGCAACATGCATTTTAATTCAGCGTACTTCTATGAAAATAGTTTTACTCCTTTTATAACCCTGTGTGCTGGATTAACTCATAGGAGAAGACAGCCACTCTGATGACAGCATTACTGATTGAGATGTTATAGATTTTAACAGTGGCCTAGTACTTTACTGCAAAATTCACTGGAAGTCAGTGGTGATCCTGGATGCTGAAATAAGGGGACACTGCCCACAAATGTGACCTACTAAGCAAGGAATTGAAAGTTGCTGTCTGCTCTAGAAACCTTAAACTCTTAAAAAGATATGCAACTGAAAAAACAATATCTACACACTTTTCTTGTAAAATGGGAAAATTTCTTTCTCCTTTAGCTGATCCATTAATAGTCAGTGTTGTTATCATTCTCAACTATGGCCTGAATAACAGAAACATATGTAGTGTGCAGCAGACTATGCTGTCCCTCTCAATTTACTGACATTGCAGCTGTCTGATCTTCTTGTTAAACCTTAAAATCACAGTAATGTCCACGGATAAGAACCTTATTACCTCAAAATACAGGGCAATTCCTGTCCTGCTGAGCTCATAGTTTGCATTTCTGACAGACCAGACCAGATCAGTGCAGTATATATTTGTGGAGATGGGGCCAGTTTGCAAGATAATGGACAGAGTTTGAACAATATCTTATCTTGACACTCACTCATTGGTGGAGAGGAAGGCACTAGGGACACCACCGATGAATTAATAGTACAAAAAGGAAGTATTCAAGAAAAATTAGCTGAAGACTGGTTATTTTGATACTAGAAGAATGTAATAGTATTCAGAGAAGACAGAGCAAAAGGTGATAGAATGCGGTTTCACTGGAAAGGTAAAGGAGACCTCTACTATATCAATGCATTATGAGATTTAACAGGCAGGGAACATTGGACTGTGATAGAGTTTATCATGGAATCATAAAATGGTTTGTGTTGGAAAGGACCTTAAAGATGATCTAGTTTCAACATCTCTGCCACAGACAGGGACACCTTTCACTAGGCCAGGCTGTTCAAAGCCCCATCCAACCTGTCTCTTTGTGTTCAAAGGGTTTATTCCTAAGTCAGTGTGAAGCTGAAGAAGACCAAACAAAAAGCATCAGATGAACTGGTCAGTAGTGTTTTGAGTGGCTTGCAACAAAAGCAGAAAAGAAAGGACTGCTGAAGTCAAAGTCGAAACTAATGTAGACCAGAGTAAGCAGTTCCCTGATGGTTGAAACAGCTGGGAAAGCCTTTGGTATGTTGGAGATAGGTGAAGTGTACAGATATGAGGACAGGGTTACCTCACTTTGACTTGTGCAGGGCTCACTTGCAGAAGGAATTAATTGAATCCATTACTTAAGAAAAATAAAATTGATACTAGAAATGGGCTCATATTATCTAACTGTTGGCTCTTATCCAAGTGTCAAGTTATCGTGGAGGCACTCTGGGTCCTGCAGAGATGCGACCACCTGTAGTGGGCTCTGCAGTCCTCTTAAAGTCTGCCTCCCCTGACAGAGTGAGGAGTTTGGTTATACTGGCTTCTAACTCAGATAACTTCAGCCCCATGGGATGAACCTTGGCTCTAGAATTAGCAGTTTATGAATAAGCACACACACAAAAAAAAGTCCATTAAAATATATATCAATGTAATTGATATATTTGAGAGCAGTGATTTGAATTTGAATTCCGAGAATTCTCTGCAATCTTTTTTTTTTTTTTGAAACACTTTACCTTTATAAACCTTATGAGAATTAACTTTATTCCTTATGTTGATGATGTCTGTGAGTACATTTCATTAACAAAACAGTGTACTGGTCCAGTATAGGGACCGGTACTGTTCTTAAAGCTAAAATATACCCAGTGAAGCTAATGCATCACAGTCTGATCCCAGAAGTAACTTCAGGCCTTGATCCTATGTGTGTCTGACTATATGAATACTTTCCTGTGTCATGGTCTGTCTTTAACAGGACTCAAATTTGAATACAGATGCCTTCTTACAAAGATCAGGTTCCACAATTTGTCTCTCCCTGACAAAAATGTGACATTCAGTAGCGTCATTGTTCCCTGACACAGGAAATCATTAGCAAAACTCAGTATTTTGGGCAAACTCTAATGAAATCAGGTACCTTCTGCCATTTAAGCTCAATTCATTTCTATTTACAGCTGTATTACACACCATTGGAAGAGTTTAAAGAAGTAACTGCTGATATTTCCCCATATATGACCAAAGGATGAAGAAAAAGTTTGAAAGTGTAACCTTGGGTAAATCATAGACAAATGAAATGAACAGCTGTGGTTAGGGTGTGATGTGATTCATCATGCTTGCAAAGTTTTATGAATTACACTTTCCTCCTTAATCATAACCTTAGGGGTGGGAGGGATTGAGAACAGGACATGTATTCAGGTTGGAATGTCAGCCTTAACTTTGAATTTCCTGGCTTTTTATCAGTGTGAATGAAAAAATGTTATTTAAACACAGGTACTTTCATCTTGATTTTGTTATATAAATACTGTTTGTGGAAAATGGAATTCAATAAAAATGTGCATTGTTTACCGAGGAATCTAGATATTTTTCTAAATCTCTATCACAATTAATAAATTTTGTAATGTAATTATGTACTGTGGAGCCATTAATTGATGCTTATTCTCTTCCATTTTTCACAATTCACAAAATGCAGGGAAATGTCAGGCTGGA